TTACCCAGTATATTGTAACATAAAGTAAATATTATATAGGTAACGTTGATATTCAATTATAGTATTTGTTTTACGACTATACCGCAGAGAGCCGACAAAATGACGACGACGACTGACGATACAGCATTAAAATGTAAAAGCTCATCTCTTATTATGTATACATAATATATAACATATTTTAGGTATACCACTCAATCCCTATCCCCGCAACAAAAGAACACACTGCCACCAGTCAAGGTAGCGCATTACCTATTCAGTAAGCATTTCTCCTCCTTCGATTATCAATTATTAAAATTCTGATATATTTTGCGATTTTAACGTTTATTTAAAGACTTTATTTTCAAGCACTTAGATTTTTTTATATTATTTAAGAAGTAGTCGTGGAATACTTAGGGTTGAAACTAATCTAAACTTTTTTATTGTGAATTTTTGAGCAGATGATTTTTTTTTATAAAATGTAGATAGTGGATGTATCAATTAGAATTAAGGATTATAGTTTCTGATTTATTAAACGTTCTGTACTTAGGCTAAGGATAATAGTCCTGTACTCCTGCATGATAAAAGGATTAAGGACGATACAGAGGCTATGATGCTTTGATGGTTTCAAATAAATAAATTAACATTTTTTTAATTTGTATAAATTGTCTCAGTATAAAAATATAGTGTACTCAATATTACAATTATTTTATGTTCTATGTTAATACATTATTATAAAGACTATTATATTTACTATATCAAAATAATGTTTAAGACTCAAAAACTACTTGTTTTAATTTTGATTCAGATGAAATAAAACACAATTAAAAATGTCGATTTACACAACAAAAGTTATTTACTTATTTAAAAAAAATATTGTATACCACAGTCCACAGGATATTCCTGAATTAGTGTGTACATCTAAGAATTTTAAAATACTTTGAAGAACTTCTCAATAACTAAAAGTTCTGAACAATAACATAATAATAATAGTATTCAAATAACATATCTGCTATCTATGAAGACTTATTTTTAATTTACAGGTTTTTAATATTGCTAACACGTTTAACTCTATAATAATGCAAAATGAAAGTACAAAAACACTGTTTTTACCGTTTATTGTTATTTTAGTTGAAAAACAGATATCGAGAACCACTTGGATTAATTCACAGTAAAATTGTTGATAAACCAAAAATGTTTTTCAAAATTGAATTCAATCCAACTAAAATCCCACAGTTTTGTCTGGCGATTAGGCCTAAATATATTAATTTATGATAAAATGGATAGCGCATGCCTGGTGATCCATCCGGTGTATTATGTATGGGGAGTAGAATAGATTTTTGAGCTTAGTGAGCGTTATGTGTTTGCATTAATTAATATTTGATGTTATCGAACAAGTCGCAAATGCTGGGACAGGTAATATATTATATATATATAAATATATATACACACAGCCGTCGTTAATGAAAATGGTAAATTGAGTACGTTATAATATAATGCACAGTAGACAGGTACCCGAAGCTATCTTAATAATGCATGCACCTATAGCATATTATAATATTATATAGTTTATACCTGGTCGTAATACGGGGAAATAAAAAATGTGAAAACTTTAAGAATTATAAAACAGCCATTTTTGTGAACAAAAAATAGCATCTCTCGCCTTTTTTTTTTGCATTAGTCAAACTAATATTGACTGTGATACGTGAAAAATGGTGACGAGTGAAGTTATGAAAATTAAAACCTCTTGGGCTCAGAACTAAAAGGTGATTTCTCAAAATATCAAATTTTTCAGTGGAGTTATTTTAAACTGTTTTCGACCAACTGTGTTATATTTTTTCGTAACGTATAATTTTTAATGATTGGCACATCTCAAAATTCACAAAGTTATTCTGCTATTTTCAGCAATTTGTTTTATTTTTTTAAACTAAGACTTACTTAACGTAAAAAACCCATTTTCAATTTAACATTAATGTTATATGGTTTTGATTTTCATAACCCCACAATCTCCCTAAATTGAGTTCGGATTACGGTCGCGCTGACTTAATCATTTATAATTTACAGATTATTGTTTATAAAAATCTTCGTTTTATTGATAACTGTACAATACAATAAATAATAATATTGTACCATCATATTATTATTATTGCATGATTAATTCAATGATTAGGAAATAGAACTTTTTGGTTCTAACACTATTGTTAAGGACCAATAGGTGCTGTTTAGAACGTTAGAAAATAACAAATGTTGAAATTGTATTGATTTAGTACCTTTTAGTTCTGCATAACTTTTTAAATAATGTACCTATGCAAAGTTGCATGTGAGATTAGATTAGACACACCTCGTGTATCAAAAAGCGAATTTTCAAAAAAATCAATATTCCACTTTTGGTTCTGAGCCCACGAGTCCTATTTACAGTTGTAGGCAAATTCACGTATTACACATTTGCATTTTTGTCCTGCACACCCAACGGGGCTGTTATATTGTATAGTTTAATATAGTAAATGCAACTAAATATAAATATTTTTATTACAGTTGCGATACCTAATGTCTATAGATAATACATATAATAATACATTGTTTTATGTATGAGTATAGATGAAAATGTATTGTATATTATAGTCACCTATAATACCTTATGGTATAGAATGTCCGAGTCTCCCTGTGTTTGTTCTTGTACACACTCATATTTACAGGGTGAATATGGGGGAATGATACCTCTTAACTTTCTTTTTTGTACTCATTATAAAATTGCCTAATACGATATTAAATAATGCAATTAATTAGTATTAAATGCGGTCTTGTTATAATTCGAAAAGTTAAAATAAGTACAGATGAGATTATTGAAGAACTATGCCAACATTTTTTACTATGAAAATCAAAATTGTGATATAAATTATTATTTGTAAAAATACTTAAAAAAAATATGCAACTTTTCTACGACTTAATAAGTTTATTATTGTTTTTATTGAGTAAGTAAGCCACCAAAAATTTAACTTTCCATACACCCCCCCCCCCTAAAAAATATTAAATATGACCTATATATACAACATAAAATTATAGGTTAGGTTATAACACATTGCTGGTTCATTTTTGTACCTCTTAAAATGAATACTGCTGTCGCTACATAATATTGATTCTACGAGTATTTTTCATTACAGCCGGCGCCTATTAAAAAACGCTCAAATATTTACTGTTTTGGTACTTCTACGTCTAAAGGTTATTCTATTTTTATGCGCTATATCAGTATTTGTATCGAATCAATGTTTACCAGTTTGTATATTTAATATTTATAGTGTTTTCGTTTCTTGGCGTTCGCATAAAATGTAATATAAATTTAATAGAAGTTCATAAAAATATGCTGAACTTTTATGGGTGAGTCCAAATACAATTACGGGAATAAAATGTTCATTGTATATATTTCATTAAATTGATTTACAAAATAAGAAATCGCCGTCGTTAAATTCGAAATAAAAATGTACACGTTCCAATAATAATATTTGCACTATAATATTATATATTACAGCAACGACATAATATTATTATTATTTGTGAAGGAAAAATATGTGTGGCGTAAAAGTAATGATAGTTCGTCTCATAAATAACACTGTAGGACGTGCCTTCAACGAAACCGTAAAAAAAATAGTATTCCTCAATCAGTGATTATTACGACTCGTGCCCAGTGTTCAAAAACGGCACCAATAATTGTAGTGCAGGTGACGTTGGTCTTGACATAATTGTTAGCATTTTGGACTGGCCCGTTGTTCCATTTTTTCACTTTTTTTGCTAATAGGTTGTTGCTTTTAATAATAATTTTAATTCGAAAGTCAAAAATATATCACAACGGAAATAAACACCCTGCTGTCAACTGATATCAATCAAAACCTATTAGACTACACATTATTTTATACGTATAATGAAGGGCTGGTGGAAAAAGGAAACGCATAAATCAATTATTACACTCCTCATCGTTAGGAGTTTCGGTCGTTCTCTAGATTACAAGTCAAAATATAATATAATTGATCGTCCTGCATTGTGAGAGCTAACGAATAACGATGGCGTTGGTAAAACAATTTGAAATTTCACTGTACGGCGTATACCCACTAAAACAATAACAATAATAATAATAATGTGTTTAATAGGTAAACGAGTAGAAAAATATCAATAACAATTAACGACGATAATTAAACGTATATATATGTATATACGCACCCTTGACGATTATATTATTATTATGCGTTAACCCTCACGTGCACTTTACGCGATTACAAGTAAACAACTGTTTTATGACCACTTTGAAATTACAGTCGGTAATCCGACTCTTGTCTGTCTGTTTGCAGCGTTTGGGTCTCTGTAGAAAATGTAAATCCGTTATTTTAAAACGTCGGCGTCCTCTGTGCACGGTCGCACGGTTCCTTTGATGTCTTTAGGTACGTCTTAAAACATATGGTCGGTGCGCGTCTTTGCGCTTTCTCACGATTACGCACACCTAGGATAATACATAATTTGTCTATGTATATATATATATAATATAATGTACATTCGATATTGTGACCGAGGGCCGGGGCTAGGCGTTAACGAGTCACAAATTATGTCGAAAAACGTTGGCTTGATTTTAATTTAAAAAATTGATTTTATAAGGGTTACTATATTTGTGTTGTTTCACGTCTTAATTATGACTTTTAACCTAATTTAATAAGTAACTTTCGTATGTAATTAAATGATGTATAAGTCTTAAAATACATTTTTTTATAACATGATATATTGCATGGATATTCTGCTAATACATTCTATATTACACTATCATAGGTACTATATTTTATATTTGACTCAATAAATAACACAGAGACTTAACTACTCAATAATTTTCAAGAAAATTAAAAATTTTAACTGTTGCATTGTGTGTCAGTTTATTTATTTTATAATATCATAATAATGTCAAACATTACGAGTTAATGCACTTAGACCACTTTCAAAGATATATTATACAATAATGTACATAACGTGAATATTTTGAATTTCAGCGGGAAGTAACCGCCGATTAGGATCTTGCGTTGATAAGAGACCGTGTGGGTTTGAAGCGGCTTGTCGGCAATTGGACAAGGAATGGTATATATGTATATGTCCACAAGACTTGAGTGAGCCCACCGAAGACTTGAAATGTCTCACGAGAAAAACAGGTAAAATATTTTTTTTAATTCATATTATTTTGTATTGATTTTTACTGTATATCGTTCCATATGTAGTGCCAGTGGCCCCGAAATCATTTGTGAACTTGAGCATCAACAAAAACGAACACAAACAGTTGGAAACTGTGGTGCATCCGTTCACGACCACCAGTCAGCCAACTAAGACCACACTAAACCAAACGACATCATTTCCCCCCGTGAGTATGAAATATTTTGACTTACGACTGTATACCTACATGATATACTTCGACATGAGTAGTTTACTATAAAATGTATTATAAAAACAACAAATAAAATTGTTGAAATGGAAATTATTGATTCGGTAAAAGTACAATGATCACCGAATTGTTTATCCACATTGATGAAAGCTTTTTTCCTTGTGCATTGTTCTAAGTATGATTTTTCAAAGAATAACTATTGCTGTATTAATATGGCCATATGCTTGTTATAAACTATAAATCCATTTAATTTCAAATTTCAGATGACATTCATGACAGTGCGTAGTTGTGAAGTCGGTATTTTATCACTAAAGTGTGAATTTGTATCTTGTATGAATATACATGTATTTTATTTTAGTTGATTGTATGTTATGTTTAGTAAACACGCCATTTGTTACATTGTAGGATAAAATATTATACTGAAACTTGTTTAGTTCATGTTTATGCATATTTCGATCTTTTGATGTTCGGAGGACTTGTTTTACGATTATGTATGCATAATATTTAATCTTTTAGTGCAAATTTTGATGTTTTGTAGACTATTTTCAACAACTTCACAAATAATATTGTCATCAAAGTAAAATAAAAAAAAAATTGGGGGGAATTCAATTGTTATTGAGTAATGGTGGTCGTGTTAAATTGCATTAATTTTAATGATTAACTACTATTGTTTACGAAAAAAATGATTCTGAAAGGATACTGTTTGTCTCAGTTTTCTAAAGATGTTTTTCTGCATAATATTTATGAACTGGTATTATAGTTATTTATTTAACGATCAATTTAACTATGTTTTGCCAAAAATAATCACTTATATTAAAATATTACTAACTGCTATTAACGTATGACTCAATAACAATGTACCAAAGACCTGTGTGAATAGGTTCGTGGTCTAACTACCTAAAAATAAATCAATATATTTTAAATATTTAGTCCACTAGACCAATATTAGTCAAGTAAAAATAAATAATATTTGCATTGATTAGTAGTGAAAAATATCAATGAAGTCCCCATGAATAATATTTATTAAATTACAATATAATTATATTGAAATATTGTGAGTTATATTCAGTCAAAGTTTAAAAGGTCTATCAAAATAATTTTTTTTGAGTTTTTTAGTTTACCATGAAAGCGATCAATGAAAAACTTTGGATGATATTTTTAAGTCTTGGCTAAGTATTATTAGTTTTTATCTACAAAATAATTTCCAAACATGTTCTTGATTTGCTTGAATTTCACTAAGCTTAAACTTCTAATACTTAAAAGAATGTACATTTTTGAATGCATAATATGCTATAAAAAAAACATGTAATATTTATGCATTTTTAGTGCACATTATATTTGTCAGGTTTTTACTGCATAAAATTACCCATCTTTATAATTATCTTCTATATAATATACATTGTCATACATATATAGATATCAATATATATCATATCTTACAGAAGCATGTTTTTGGATACGAACTATTTTTTGCTAGTTTTTTCTACATCCGTTTTTATACAAATAATACATTATCATGAAAAACAAAAATAACAATAACAAATAATTTGGCCATTTGGCAATGAATAGAAATAATTGGAAAATCAGGTTTTAAAAAAAATTGAGTTGCAAAACAAATTATTGATGGGGAAACATAATACGATAGCTGATTGCTGATATAAGTTGTGCCCATGTAATATGTATATAAAAAATATTTGCCAAATAAATTATTTAATTCAATCATTTCACCCCTACTGAAAAGAAAAAAACAGTTGAAGTAATAAAAAATAATTATTGATTACCAAATAGTTAATACAATAATACCTATATACAAGGCGATCCTTTTAAAGTTCAACATTAATTTATGTACACGAAAAATATTTAATGTTTGTGAAAATATTAATTGTAGGTACATGATTTTAAGTCATTGCAGCAGTGAACAATTTTTTAAAAAAATACCCACCTTGCACTTTATTATAATACTACTCATCCGTATATCTTGATATTATAATCAAATAACTCTACTTTAAAAATAATTATTTAATATATTTCGTTTATTATAAAATAGTTTTAAGAAACGTTTAATGCAAATATATTGTTTTCATTGAGTTCAGACTGTACGTCATACTTCAAATAATATCATACTGTCGGCATACGCATTATTATGTATGTATTAATACATATATATTAAATGTATATATAAAAAAATGGTATTTTATAACCGTGAACGAATAATTTGTGTTTTATTTATGAGAAATTATTAATTTTAATACCGTCTCGGTGTACGCAGAAAAATGACCAATCGATGTTAGCCGGTCATTAGGTTAGTACTGTGAATAAAGCTTGATTGCAATGTTATTTTATAGAACGTTGGTTATAATATCTATTTCATATTATCCCATAAAATATGTTTTTGACAGGATTGTCTGTATCAAATACAACATAACATATAATTTATTTTTATGGTATAACTATTTATTATAATACGTTTTCGGAGTAACACGTAGGTATAGTGTAGTTTGGAATCCCGATTTGAAACAAAAGTAGGCAAAAGTTCAAATTATATGTCCCAAAGTAAAAGCAGTACTCACTGAAAAAATAACTTTAATGACTTTCGTAACAAATTGTGTGTGGTGGTAGTAAATATATGGGAAATTGACGAAAAAACACGTTAGTGAAAAATACATCAAGCAAAAATCTACAAGTTACAAAATAACAATATTTTTATTTTTGTAAATATTATTGAAACCATCATGCGTATAAAATGCGTTTTTGAATTTTTCCATAGCTCATATGATAGATTGTCAGTTTTAGTTTGTTTTCCGCTTTAGTCAGATCCGTAAAATTATTATTATTGCATAATATGTTCACTATATGTATAGTGTCACAGTACCTATTGCTAAAAGAAATATTATAATTTACGAGTATAATATTTATAGCTGGTACATTAAAATATTTATGTTTCTGAATTGTTTCATCACTATTGACTATTCTTAAGTAAAGTACCTACTTAACTAAAGGGACAAGTCATAACTAGGTTTTCAGAGAATTATCCTTTTGCGAAAAAAAAAACAAAAATAATGTATTTAAATTGATAGCGAATCCACCTTATTATCATTGCCGATCGAATTACTCTTACCATTCAAACAACATAATATGAAATTTTTTTCCTGCAGGTGAAACAGAACATGGACGTCAACATATTGGGTTTTATTTTGCGCATAAACGTGCTCATGATATTGGCGGTGGGAATAGCAGCGTTTTTGTCGGTGGCGTTGATACTGGCTATATGGTGGAGTCGAGCTTCGAAAGGCTGCTGCAAGTCAAAAGCAGCCAACAACATTGTAAGCATCGACGGTGTTTGTGGTATAGGCGGGTACCATTATAATATTATGATATAACCATGGTTGCAATATATTCGGGTTATTGCATATACCTTGGTACTGATTGTTATCATTAGATGCGAAATGGCTGCTTAACGGTTTATCACATGGATATTAATATTGCGAACCACATAATATTATAATTGATCATGATTGCCTACCTTTATACTCTGACGTTTTTGTCCTTATCATATAATATTAATCAATGGGGAAGAGTATGTAATATATGCAATAACCATGCCTGATATTTCAACCATGAATGTAATGTACACAATACTTGTAAGTGCTATAGAATCGCAACCACAAGGGAGTTGAGTACTTGAGCCGTATCTCGGTATCCATATAAAATGGTAAATTTAATTTGATAAATTCCAATAATAATTATCATGATTTTCCCCTGGAAATTTCTGGTTGCGCTTCTGTAAGCACATATAATTAATATTGTGTGTGTATATTGTATTATAATATATCTAAGCCTACTCAGCATATATCCTGAAAATACTACAAATAATCTATGATATAATATCAATTACGTCACGTATGTCTGTTTAGTCACCTGTGGTGTCCCTGATAAGAGGAGTGATCCAGGAAGACAGTTTCGCGCTGAATCCGCAATACGCCGCTCCATCGCCCGTCGCTAAAGATACTATTCTGATACCGTATCTAAGTAAAAGTTGTATATCCTCAATGGAGGAAATCGGGCAAGGATTTTTCGGAAAAGTTTACAAAGGTAATGTGACACTGTTGCCATTACGGAGTTATTCTATATTTTCAGGACCCCGGGCAGTGATGTTCAGTACAGAAAATATAAATCTTATCAATCTAAAAATAATCCTGTACAAAAGTAATATTTAGATTTACCTAGTCGCCTAGATAATGATAAAAAAAGAACGCATTTTTGTAGATTAAATCTAAATTGTATAAATTCGTTTTTTATATAAATATAAAACCATGTATTCACTAAAGAATATCAAAAATGCATAAAGAAAAATCAGTAGGATGAACAATTTGTTCAAATATTGAGACTGACATAAACAAGGATATTTTTTATCCAATTTATATAACTTTACTATAGGTTGGTACTTAGCAAAATGAAATAAAAGATACAATTAATCGATATAGGCTTAACACTGACCTCGAAAAAAGTTAAGAAATGCATTAATAAAAATATGATTTGTTTTGAATATAATATATTATATGAAACGCATCTAGGAATACGCTCTCGGCTCATATTTAGCATCATACAGACTATATGATGCGTTAACGTCATACAAATATGAGTTATTTACAATTTTGATATAGGTATTTTTTATTACTTTTGTACAATCTGTTTAATCTGATTTTATGCACATGTATGCATTATCGCATACGAACCATTAAGACGTTACAATGCAGTGTATGAAAAGCAAATCTTTTATTTTTCTGGCATTCGGTATTGAAAGTGAATGAGTAATTAAATATTTAATTACCTATTTTCCATACAGGTATCCTCCAACAGACCGATGGCAAGTATGAAACAGTCGCCATAAAAGTTTTGAAGGATCACACAAACTTGGAAGCCAAGGAAGACTTCATGAGGGAAGTAGAGATAATGACGTATTTCAGACATCCGAATATCTTGACATTGATTGGAGTTTGTCCCCAAGGTAATATTAAGCGATACGCTTTTCATGGTAACAACAATAATAAAATATAAAAGTTAATATTAAACTTTACGATTATAATTGTTCAAATAATAATTTTAACCTTATATAATACTCTCAAGTGTGTTTTCGACATATGGACAGGTCGCTTACGTTTATACCCAACATGCTTATTTAATTATATAATATACCATTTCGTTATTGTCCGTGATTGATGTTGATGCTTTTTAATTAATATCGCGTATACATAGCATATGATGCTAGGATCAAAGCAGTGTTGCCGTATAATTTTACACCCGGGGGAAAAATTGTATGGTTACTCACTTTTTATTGAGTACCTTCTTATTTATTGATGTGAACATCTAAGCTACCTATAATAATCACACAGTCAGAAGTGTTATTATTTAAAACCATTATAGTTGAATACTTTACTTTTAAGAATTCTATAGTTTATAATAATGTCGGTTAATGTATCAGATACTAAAAAAAATAAAACCTTACAAATGATACCTATTCCCGCAACTGCCATCCCATTGCCATCCTTTAACGTGGCATTGGGAATTGGAATTGGAACGAGTAGGTACATTGCAGAACGAGCGTAATTCAGTGCTGTGGACTATAGTAGTGTTAAGCTAATTATTATATCATACCGACTGTTACAATTTGTGAACATTTTTAAATTATTATCATAAATATTTTTTGTGAACTCGAAGTTATTTTCATTTAATTAATCTAGATTTCTGCACACTGTTAACTTAAATGTTAGAGTTGATTATATATATTATATATATTATGTATATATATCAGTATAGAAGTAAAATTTTATTTATTCTTCAAGAAGATGATAGACCCCACTAAACATGTTCATTTTGTTATATACTTTATTTATTAAGAGCGCTATATAGTGACGAGGAATTTTATTTTAAAAATAGTATGCATTTTTTTATTTTAAGTTTTTTTGAACCCCAGGTTGAGTGTGGCTGATGTTGAGTATTGAAAGACCTGTGTTCAATTACAAATTACTTTTAATATATTATAAGCTTTAGCCTTTAAGGTGGTTAAAAGTTTAAACGCGCAAGGGAAATAAGAGTTTAGAGTGAAACAATTTACTTCATCTATAGTCCATATATATATACATACATTATACACCACCTGTAATGTATAGGTACCTATATAAATATATATATACATATATACGCACTTGAACTTGAACCACCATTTCGGGTATTAATCAAAACTAGTTATCGCGTTTGTCAAAAGTTTGTGGTGTAAAGTTCAACTAAATGTTTTTTTTCTATACCTAGCTATTTTTTAAAAGAATATTAGTATTCAAATAATAGTTATGATACAATTGGATATTAGTATATTATATTGAATGAAAACTATTAAATAATAATTAACGATGGCAAAAGCAATTATTTTCCTTGTTGATTTAAAAACGATAAAACTACAAAGATTTATATCATATTATCCAATATTGACGAACTTCCCATAAACCCATCGATCGAACATATCCATAACAGTAATAGTAGGTACCTGACAAAACCTAACACATGCATTGGCAAAACAATAAATTCCACATGTAACTAATAATTTTGTCGATTTGTTTTAATCTGAACAGAACATTTTTTAATTTTTAATAAATATATCAAAAATAAAAATAATTAATTCTATAGATTATTAATGTATTAGTATTAGAACGGTTGATGATTAATAGCTCAATATTTTCTATGACTGCCTATAAGTTATACCTATTTATTATTTTTATTTTTAAATTAATAAAATATTTACTTTAAATGCTTAGAGAAAAATGTATAATAATTATATTCATGATTATCGAAGTCGTACATTATGCTACTTTTTCCTAATTTATCCTCACTTTATTTTTATTTAAAATAACGTTTAAATCGTAAAGTTTCATTATGATAATTGCACGATCCTTGCCTATAATGCATTTTGTTTTAACTACAATATGTTTGAATTAATATTGATTTTCACAATGCCCATTAAGTTCACTTAATTATTGCAATCTACTGTTTTCTGAGATAAACAAACATTCATTTTTCAATCGTTTGCGGCAAACAAACCGATTTGCAAGCGTAAAATAAATAATAATGAATACCTACAATAAATCAATCAAGTATTCAACCTAATAGATGATATTTTGTAAATCATTTCAATATTTTTATTGTGCATATTTACCAATAGGCAATAAAAGACAATGTTGAATCAATATTTTACTGTACTTTCTAGTTGATAAACCGTAGGGATTAGAATTTACTTCCGTTTGAACCACAACCGCAATGTAAAATTAAAAATACATAATAATAATATGTTGATTATTAATATTATAATTTATACAAAATACGTCATAGTTGTCTGTAACAGTATATAAATAATGTTTATACGTATCGTGATAATTATGAATGTAATTAATGTGTGTTTGTAAATTTTGCTCGGTTAGAAGACAAATGTTCTCCGTGGATGATATTCGAGTTCATGGCATATGGAGATTTAACCGAAGTTCTGAGAAACAGCAGTGATCAGTTCACAAATTATTCTGCACATTTGCCGAATTTGGATAAAGTAAGTGTTCACTAACAAATTAAAAAAATTATGTTTGAAAGCTTAAAATGAATCATTGTTAATATCTCTGTTCTATCATTAAAATTAAATCACTCAAATTGGTACCTATATGCCTATTAATACTCCAAAAGATAAAAAAAACTAATATTATTGTGTGTATAGGTGCCTAACTCAAACATCGCATCCAAATGTAATGATTTGAAAAGTAGTACACTGTAAAGATTATATTATTATTGTAGTTCGCTGTAAGACATACATATTTAAATATTAGCAGATATAGATTTGAAAAATAAATTTCGAATAATATAGTTCTCGGGTTTTAGAACATTACAAATATATTATACATAACCTTATACTCGGGTGACATCTTAAGATTGTCTTAATGATTTGTTGATCATAATACTTGAAATATTAGATTACCGTGGTAGGTATTGAAAGCTGAGTTTGAATCAATTAAAAATATTTAATTCCTATATGGCTATACATAATATTATAGGTGTTTATAATTAACATTTCGAAACGTTTTCAGGATGCATTGTTGGTGATATCCTTACAAATATCAGCGGGCATGAAATACTTGGCGAGTCAGCGGTTCGTGCACAGAGACTTGGCTTGTAGGAATTGTCTAGTCGGCAACAATCTGACTGTGAAAATCGCTGATTTTGGAATGAGCAGGGACATTTACACATGTGACTATTACAAAGTACGAAGCTCCCTAACCACGCTACGAATATGACATTCATTTTGACTTTGTCGTTTTCAGGTCGGAGGATCCCGATTGCTTCCTGTGAGGTGGATGTCACCGGAAAGCGTCGTCTATGGAAAATTCACCCTGGAATCGGACGTGTGGTCATTCGGTGTAGTGTTGTGGGAAATTTATTCACTGGGAAAACAACCGTACTATGGTTATTCGAATGATGAGGTGAGCAATTTACGATTAGGATAATTTGAATTCGATTCGTATATTATATATTACAATATTGTTATGATTATAATAAATTACGCATAGAAAACAATTTCGACCGAATAAATAAACAGAATAGTAAAGTTGTTATGGCGCTTGTCCATCTACAATTTTGGGTTCAATTATACGACTGCCGTAGTAGTTAATAGTTACAAGTGATACAGTTCAATTGTTTAGGATTGCTTATGTCAAAGGTGCTAAGTTGACATTTTTAAAGTAATCGAAAAATAATTAATGATTTTATACAGTATGAAAGTTGAATCTTTTAAATTTAAACTATTGTCGAGCATTAGAGGTGTGCGATATGAACATACGGCGTTAGTTAGACAAATCGAACATTACGTAAGCATTGTTCAACAATCACAGCAACATGCTCATATATTATAATATTATACGTGCCATGTGAATTTTGCAAATCATATAAAAAAAAATATATATAAAGATAACGAACGTATTCAACTTATTATTATTGATGAAAATATAAAAACCAACAATTCAAACGATAAATTATTATCATCTGTGTATTATAGACAAATACATGTTATATTTAATTAACAAAGCATATTACTTATAAAGTTATAACAATGAAAAACATAATAGAATATCTATAACTTATAACAGGCATAATGGGAAATCTACGACGTCTTGTCGGTATTTTACGAAACGCACCTCCTTCAAACTGTATATTTTTAAACGACATAAATGTAATATGCTAGGAAAATTCAAAATCTAACAACCTACATACACATTGCACCAGGACTAGGTTAGGTTATGACATGTTCCAACGTCAGTGCTTAATTCTCTGTAAAGGTATACCGGATTTACCTATCGGCCTTAAATGTAATTTTAAATGTATGGCATGCAATTACAAAACAATCATTCTTTTGCTATTATTTATAAGTTTACGATTATACGTCAATCAAGGCGCATGAACAACACTGGATATTGTACTGAAACTGACGTTTAGGCATAACGTCTGTCGCATAACATTCCATATAATATTCTAAAGAATAATATATTAAAAAACGTTTTATTGTGTATTTGTATAGTTGTCGTTGAACGTGAAAGTCATACATTAATACAATTACACTCAGTGAAATGATATTATCACCATGCATTTGTTCACGCCCATAAAGAGTAATTTACTAAGCATACGAGCCTTCATTTTTCCTCTAATAATGAATTTATTAAAACTATGATTTTCTTCATTGAATACTATGGATAGTATAGTATATTAAATACTTTGCGAATTAATACGAGCTTAGTTATTATTATTAAGTATGCAATAAAAAATATTGTATTAATAATTACTACTTGTTCAAGTATACTCAGACAATGTTATAATATTACAAAACGCTTATTGATTAATATTGCACAAACTTATTTTCAAAAGAAAAGGAAACAATTACCTTTTCAGGAAGATCCTTAGTATTTGAAATAGAATAACTCAGAACATTTCTTTCAAATTTCAATTAAAATACGTCAATGGTTTCAAACAAATAATCTGAATCACAATTTCCATTAAAACATGTAGGTACTTTATGAAAAACTCAAATATGTATTCGAAAATATTGTCTTTCGCTTCATTTAAAAATTCCAAAATCAAATTTGAAAATACATACACAATTTAAACATATAATTAGTGGGCTGAGTACATATTACATATGTATTTTAATAACCTAAGAATGCAGTAGAAATCGTTTATAATGACATTCAGACTAAGGAAAATATAGGTCACAGTAACCGATAGTCATAACTACGGATAAAATTTAACATATACAATACTTACCCATTCATTTCTACGGGTGCTTCACTTTAAGGTCATAAAACCCGATATGTCACCATAGCCAGTGTCATTATAAACGATTTCTACTGTATTATACAATAATATTTAGGAGGTATACCTACAGCTGGTGTTCGAAGTTTCCGTTTCATATCCGACTCGAGCAACGTCTCTGCCAAGCATTGAGTAATTTTGTGATTTTTCAGGTCTTAAAATTGATTCACGATGGCGTGTTATTGGACATACCGATGAACTGCCCTCCGGTTATATGCGTGTTGATGAACGGATGTTGGAAAAGTGACCCCAAAGAACGTTTGCGGTTCACCGACATTTACGATCGTTTGAAAAATGTCACCAAACGACCAGAACTGGACAGTCCGTTGCCCAGGCCACCCACATTGCCGGTGATCGTTGATCATCTGAGCTTGAGAAAAATGCCTTCGGAAGAACTTTTGGACGTCGACGATTACCTGCAGCCCGACGAACAGCGTGTCACTGTGGAGTACATAATGCCATATCCTGCATTGTAAACTCTTGTATTGTTCCTTTTGATATAATATAATTATATTATTACTACCCAAGTCGCTTGTACTCGATATTTATAATATACGATTTCTGTCGATTACGTTTTAGTTAGGTATACCATTATAGTTTGAATATGTCATAACGTTTATTTACATAATTATTTTTGAACATAAACTTACTGGGATTTTAAGAGTTGATCTGCTATTTTTTCGATACCTAATACGACTTTATACTATACATTTTTACATCGATTTTCATAAACAAAATGTAACATATTTTAATAACTTCGAACATCATTAGTATAGTATAGATATAGTTGTAAGTGACATATTATTATGTTGTATTGTAGTTTTAAGAACGACGTCATATTGTAATATATTTTTAAATATTAATAATTTTAAGTAATCAGTAGTAGTAATTACCATTTTTAGTGAACTGTTCATAATGGTTTTGTTTACTATTACTAAATAATAATAATAAATTAGAATAATTAATGATTTAGATTTATATAATAACTATAATAAGTGATTTTTATTTTACAATTATTTTAGTCTTTGGAAATTTTGTATTGTGTAAATTATAAATTATTTCATAGTATAAAAATAAGTTAAACTGAGTGGTGACATTACATTATTACATTATATTTTGTACCAGTTATATGATAATAATATTGTATATTGATTTTCTTAAATCATTATAACATCAACCATCTATTAATCAATTAAAAATCAAATATATTATCATTATATTATTTATTATACTTATTGATTATTGTTATTTTATTGATATCATAATTCAAAACTATTATTATTGTTATTTTGAGTTTCATATATTATATACAGCTTAATGTTTATTTAATAAACATGAAATATTTTTATTTAATGTAGTTCACCGTTTATTAGCCATTTCAGGTTACAGGAACCGATAAGTCAGCATGGAAAAAAAATTGAAGCAATAATATTATTCTGAGTGGATATCGGTTTACTCAAAAATGCTTAATATGTTTATTAACAATTTTTTAACTCAATTACTTCGGTGTACAGTTTCCCACTACGTTTTATCGAAAACTATGTATTTAAAGTACCGTACGTGTTCAATTTCCAATTTATAGAGGGGCTGAATGGAAATCGTGGAGGTTTTTATTACCAGATAAAATGTAATAAATCCAAGGGAAAAGCACGCATCGTTGTGTGAAACCTACAATAGCTCCATTTTGGATCTAAAACAAAAACGATGAGGAAGAGTAAAAATCAGAAAACAAAATAAAACACGGTGCGTTCAAATTGAATGTCTTTTTTTCTCGTGGCATCACTACAAGGGTGTTGAACTGTTCGCACATTGCTTGACCCAAATCGAATATTATTAGCTGCTCATAACGAACGCAATTAATATTTAAATAAAAAACAATACCGGTCTACACTGTTAATTATTATTTGTATTGTGTGTGATTTTTAATATAATCATTACTGAAACTAGAATCTCACCAACTAACTAGAATTGTACTGTTATTTATATTATTACAGTCAAATTATTAGAAACAACTATTAACTTTGACTATATTATATTATTATAATTATTTATATTTGCAGATCAAAGTCTCGTAAAACTGTCTATATAGTTTAAATGTAGGCAATGTAGCTAATTAAGTGCCTATAACTACACATTGATATTTAAGAATCTGGGCAGTCTAATAAACAACGTTAAAATAAAACTTGGTTGCAGAATTCAAAGTTTTTTACAGAAATGGTCTTGATTTTATTATACAGCCCTACAGAATATGCATATTATGCGACATTTGAGTAGGTAATTGATTTGTCGTAATAAAAATTCTGTGCCGACAGTTGTAAAATCCAAAGACAAATAAAATATATACCATATAAAAAAAATAAAAATGTAGATTTTATTCAATTGACACAGGTGTAATGTACATTGCTCGAAGAAGGTTTATACCCTATCACTTATATACCTATATACGTATAATATTGAATTCAGAACTGTTTACAATATAATTTATGATTTCTGTTTTATTTCTTTCGCGTACACGAGTGTACGTTTAAGCCTTAAAAGTTTTCTAAAGTTAAAAAACATCGAGACATGTTTTATATTCGTTATTGTGAAACCGGCACATGGTTTATTATTGTTTCCAAAGATGTCTTTGTGCAGCTGTATTAAGACTTACGAGTTGGTTCGATATAATTATTTTCAAATAATAAAATAAGCCCGTAATTGTATATGCTATATAGTATAATACTTTTTACTCGAGTTATAGTGTTAAAGTTTACTTTTGTTATTTTGTGGTTTACATGGTCTACAAAACTTCGACGTAGAGTACAAAGCCCACTTCTAAGAAAAATAAAACTCACCGATACTAAAATAATAGAGAGCTAAACGTTATTATTGGATTCAAATCAACACAATAAAAATAATAAATCTATAATATAAAGTATTATTTGCGATCGGAAATGTTTTTTTTTTACTCAAACAAAAGTACCTCTATATATACACCGATCAAAAAACATCTATCATTTTTCCTTCGACATATATATATAAATGTTTCTGGCTGAAAATGGAAATGAATGAATTTAAACGCAATACGCCGCAAATACGAAAAGAATCGATATATATTCATATAGGTTGGTACTTCAATCAATTCCAGATGAAACATTTTATTAGAGACGGAATAAACTACCATGCCATTATATAATATAATATCGTACTTCACAGAGGTTCAACCGGATCCCATATTTCGTTTTACACTGTGCAGAGGAAATTCGATATAACCGGAAACGACAAATTTAATTCTAATCAACCGTAACCCAATGCCGGAATCAACGAAACACAACATATATATATATATATATATATATTATAGGTAGGTATTGGAGTTGGAATCTAACAAGTAAACAATCTTCGTGGAAATATAGGTACGTGGTATTATTATGTGTGCATATTATGTTGTATTGACAGCACACTGAACAGTTAAAACGTTTTGTAATAATATAGTCTCTTTTCATTTTTAATTGATTTAGGTGCCTATGTAGCAATAAAACGATAGGATACTCGAAAAATCATAATATTAAAATGCGTACATGTTTTATTATTTAATAGTCAACATACCTGCACGAGTCGCCAATAGCAACGCAATATGTCTGTAATTTTACACCACCAATGTGGGATTTCTGAAACACCTTGTAAAAATATGAAGGGACATATCGACTAAACTTATATCAAGTTCGAATAGCTATGCATACGGATACTACTTGGTCCACACTTTCAAATGGATTGTTAAAAAATATTAATGTTATCACGAGTTTTAAAATTTTCCTTTCGGAAAACCCAAAGGTAAGATGTATACAAACTGCCGTGCTCCGTCCAGGGAAAGGAGGCGATGTATATCACTCTGACACTCTCGTGTTTGGGTCACCAGTTTGTTAGTATAATATGTGCCTATACTATACAGAATTTACAAACCGATTGGATAAAAATCAAAAATATCACGTACGACCAATATTGAGTAAACAATTCTATGATTACAGTCTATGGTATTCTATAATTTTATATTCTTAAATTTTCATGAAAAATTTTAAATTATAAATTCATTCGTTGAATTTGTCAATACCTAAATCAATATGGAACAATATAACATAGGTGTCATAACAAATAATAATCACTTGAAATATATTTTAATAAAATAAAGCTAAAAAATTTAACCGTCGACAATGATGCCATTTTAGATTCTGAGAAAAGTATAAGGGTATTATAATAATGGTCGAGTATAGAAAGCTATTGTAACAATAGATTTCTATGATTAATGATTTTGACATTACAAACAAAAATAGCGATGAACCCGGTGAATATTCAATTTTGTCAAAATGCATATTAAAATATTTATGAAACATAACTTTTTTTATTTCAAGTAATAAACACTTAGGAAGAACAATGAATTTAATTTTCACTAAAAGATACTAAAATATTTAAAATATCATGAATAGCTCATAAAGATAATAATATTTTGAAAAATTGAATTTTAGAAACTTGTTGTCAATACATTATATCAACATTCAAGTATCCTGCGTATTCGCTTTTGATTTACAACAAAATGTAAACATTTAAAGTTTCAAAGAATAATACTTATGAATTCACATGTATCGAAAATAGTAAGAATCGCTTTGTATTTTATTGTTATCCTTTTTTTACTCACAAATGAAAAAATTGAACGAAAAGAAGAAAATAAAAAAATGATCACCAATAATTATTAATTACGTGGCATAAAACCACTGGATGTGTATCCACTGGGAATTGTTTTACTTTTGTTTTCCCAAAGTACCAACTATAGATCTCTAAAGTTCTATAATATGACTTTAAAAGAAAATGTGATTATGATTTTTTCTTAGAGTAAGCGTAGAGTGAGTAATATTGAATATTTGAATTATCGTTGGTCAAAATGTGAGATATTAAAATTATTGTTATTTTAAAACTGTAAAGGCTCAATTGAATGAGTTGAAATTTTAATATAAGGTTTTTATTACTTATGATGGGTAGCAATTAATTCTTAATTAAAACAACATATACTAGTAAGGTAGGTATACATAAGTGCTAAGCGCTAATAAACGTAATGCTATGTATAATTTAATTGAATACTAAAACTCGAAGTAAGTGCTTACATATTACAAAGTACAAACGTAACTAATTACCTATTATTCTTAAGCCTTTTATACGAATTTTATTTAGACTATTTTTTTCATTGATATTAATACTATGATGGGACGTTGTTGATTAAAAACCTCAGTTGCAATATGACATATATATATATTTTATAAAGATACAATAAAGATTTATACAACTATATCAAATTTCCCATTCATTGGGGTAAAATAGAACTAATACTGGGATAAAATATGATAGTTATAGATTCATCATTGCATCACACAGTTATAAAATACATTTCTTATTGGTTTGACACTTCCTAAATCATAAGAAATTAAGATATAGAAACTAAGGTTAGCAGTTTGTTAGTGAATAAAAATCAAATAAAAATAATAAAGTCCCATAAAACATGTTCTATAATGTCCCAAACAGAAATATTTATTTTTAACAACGGTACCGAACAAACAGTTTGATTGATTATAAAAACGATTATTTGAAACTAAAGTCCCCATACAACATTTTGAAGAAAATTTTACAATACTCTTTAAAAAATAAAATGACCTAATGAATTTTATGAAAAAATCTGTAATACAAATGTTAAGATATTATCTACAGTGCTGGAGAGGACATATTTATCAGTTGATTATAAAATGGTCTTAAACTCTTATCAAACATTTAACAATAATTTTTTATCAGTTTTAATAATAATTACGTACTCAAAATGTTCCAAAGCCATTACGTTTTTTGTAGTATCACTGATTAGTGATTACTGAGGAAACCTCATGTTTATCCCGACAATACAAATTTTTTAATCAAAATACAAATAATTCTGGGTTTCATAAAAAAAATGTAAAATCCCACCTAGCTTATTCCACATTACCTACTGAATATAAATGTGTAATAATAGTAGGG